AGCACGGAAGGTGGGGCAAGAAGTTCCTTGCCTTTAGCTATGGCTGCCTCCTCCTTCCTCCAAGTGCTACCGCAGACCTCCCGCACTTCGCCTCATCACACCAGCAGCCAACCAGCCAGCATCTACTCAAGTAGAATGCCCCAGCAGCATTGCCACAAGTGTGAGGCTGCTGGGTGGCAGGCTAACTTTTATAGTTGGCTGAAGGCTGAGGGCAGCTACTTTGCCCCCAGCCAAATCTCGGAACAGAGTCTGCCCTGGATCAAGATCGCGATCAAGGGCCAGGAAAACTTGATATTCCCCTAGGGGAACCAAGTCCTAAACCTTGGCAGTGCATCTGGCCTTCACCCGCGGCCAGACGCAGCCCCGAAATGGCTGTACCAAGCCTTTTTCCAGCAGACTGTTGAAACCAACAGTCTGCTATCTATCCATAGTCCAGATGCTTCTAAACTTGCATCTGGACCGAGGCCGCGGCTAGATCCGCGGCCGTTTCCCTCTTTTTTTTTCTAGTTTCTTCCCCTTCTTTTTTTTTTCTTTCGTTTTTTTTTTCTTTTTTTTTACAGCGGGGGCAGCTCGTCGTTTAAAAACGAACGAGCACATCAAGCCCCCTATTCATTTCACATAGTCGAACTAGAGTCCAACTCAACAGGGTCTTCTTTCTCCCCCTGCCCCGCGCCTGTACCTGGGCACCTATGGCACCAGGTACGGCGCCGTTCTGCAGCCCGTTGCTCAAACGAACGGGCGCAGACTGGCCTACAGCCACAAAAGGGGGACTCTCTCTCTCTCTCTCTCTCTCACACACACACACACACACACGACATGCCCCACCCTCATCATGGGAACTTCCGAATGCGGCCGCATTGCGCGGCAGGTGCATTCGGCGAGTCAGCCCACCCACAGATGGACTGTCGGGGCTCACCCCCTGATGAGTTGGTGGAAGTCCAACGAAACAGTCGGGCGCAATCAAGTCGGCCCGTTCGTTTGAAACGAACGGGTACCAAGGAAAAAGAAGACATAAGGAAAAAAAAAAAAAAAAAAGATCTAAACCAAATCTAACAAAAGAAACCCAAAAAAAAAATCTAAGCAAAATCTAATAATGAAAAAAATAGAAAAGAAAAAAAAACAAAAGAAAACTCCACCTTAATCTGAAAGGGTTGCCCGAAAAACGGGCGCCCGTTATGTTCTGTGGGGACACTAAGTTCCCGTCACTTCCTCTTGCGTCAGATGGCGCTTCGTTTTAGTTTAGTTTTGCTCTATATTTTATTTTTATTTTTTTTATTTTTTTCTCCTTTTTGCGTTGGCTTAAGCCAACGGTCACGTCGTTTCGCCACGATATCGTCATCCTCCACGCACTACAAAAAGGAAAAAAAAATGAATCCAAAAAAAAAACAGAGAAAACTCCTTACCTTGGCGTTGTAGCTCCTCCATCGCACCCGTGCCTGGATGCTTACGCGTCCAGCTACGGGATAGGTAAGGTTTTTTTTTTCTCTCTCCCCTTTTTTTTTTTTTTTTTTTTTTTAATCTGGACCACAGGGGTCATTTCACCCCGGCGCGGTTGATTTCAGCCGCGCGATCTCGAAGATCTCACGGTCGAAAATCGGCCGCACCCTCTGTCAAATTGCGGCTGCTCCAAAAGGAGCTAGCCTGGTAGTGCACGTTGTTAGGTTCGATCCCCATGTCTACAGGGTAGTAATCTGGCGACGGTACCTATTGGGCTAGCTCCTTTTCAGATCAGAAAAGGAGCGGCCCTTCCATATGAAGGGCTCCTCGTGCCCAACAAGCCCCTTGCTAACGCCTAGCAGGCTATGCGTGCTAAGCCGGCTTACTGCCGTGGCTGGCAGGCGGGGTCGGCGGCCGACAACTTTAACAGGTGACGTACTTAGCCGGCCTCGACGCCTTCGCCCCCGGGTCCTTGGCGCAAAAGCCGTATGGATCCTAAGCCATCCCTTCACACCGCGGTCCATCTTGCCGCGGCGACCGCTTCTTGGCCCGCTTAGGCCCTGAATCGTGCGGCTTAACAGCCGCGCGACCTTATTATAGGTAGAGTAGGCTCAACTTTAGTTTCCCCACGACCGCACACCAGCGCGGCCTCGTCGAAACCCGCGGACAACAGTGCCGACCCCCATTATCCCGCACGGATGTCGGTGTCGTCCTGCGTTGACGACGTCAGGTTCAAAAAAGTTCAAGTCTTTCAATCATAGCGCTGGTCTGGATAAACTATGGCAACGTCAATCTCATCAAGTCTTCTAATTAAGTGAGAAGGTCAAACAGCGTCCGACGTTGAAAAACACGGGCAGATACCCTTGTCAGGGTTTCTGCCCCGACAGTATTCCCGGGCCCCATTGAACGACTTCCACGTCGTTCACGTGGTCGGTACTTCTCAACATAAATTTTTACAAATACCTCTCTTAGTATCTTTCAATCTTAATAAAATAACAGATACTTTAACAAGCGGATATCCGAAAAAACGGACTCCTTACCATTAAACGAGTTATGCCGTCGAAGCCAAAATTTACAATCATTCTGCATTCATCGGTTGGGTACCAGATTCAGCCCCTGGAAGCCCAAAATTTGAAACTCAGGCCCAGATTCAGTCCCTGGAAGCCCAAAATTCAAAGGACCTTATTCTAATGGTTCTGGCTAACAAAATTCACTCGGTTGGAAAACATTATTTTAATCATCTGGGCAAGCAACCATCATCGCCGGGAATTCAACCCGGGTCTCTCATGTCCATGGGGATGCATCCACAACACCTCAACACACTCACGTGTCGCCAGGAGTTTAACCTGGACCTCCCACGTAACACAAGGATACTCGTACTATACTACAGTCACGGTTGTCGGGGATGATAATAACAAGGCTTCGACTTTCCACCATTCCTTCTAGAAGTCCCGTATTAACCTTCAGCTTGTTCCCACAATGAGCCAGGAATAGCCTCTGGCAGGCCTCCATAACCCAACCTATGATAATCGTTCCGATATAATCTGAACTAGCCATCCAATACAAGAAGCCATTATTTAAGTTCTTTAGCCGAGTTTCATAACCCATCCGATTGTGCAATTTTACAAATACCTAGGATTTTTATGCCTTAGTACCCCTGAACTCTATGTGACTGCGTCGAGGAGTGGTGTACTCCTCCACAAAGGATAACATCTCGACATCAAGCCCCGCTTTAGATTTGAGCCTCACCACATTCCCTCCGATTCCAGTATCGCAACTCTGTTAATGCCACGCCTACAGGGCGAGACAACCTCATCTATGTAATCCAAGTTGGTTAGACGAGGATCATAAGGACGCGGCGAACCTGCATATCACAAGGATAGACGACCAACCCCACCCCTGTGATAAGCAGCGATCGCTCCCCGCCATAGGCGAGGTTTCAACAGGATTACGACACCATCCTCCTTTTCGGTGATAGTGTAGCCATCACCCTCTTTCCAAGGAAAATGACATCATCTCGTTGTGGACCAGGAACCAAGTTCCGGCATGAGCCTCACTATCACCTACAAGGCTCACATCTTTCAGGAATATCAAGACACAATAAAGACTAGGTATTACATATAACTTGTTATATTCATTAGACCATGTGCCTATAGAACGAATACTTATCGTTCATGAAGTCACATGTTCCAAAATTTTATACACATTTTACACATTAAGTCACGACTTTGCACAAATCATTCAAATCAATCCCTCACAAGCAAAACTCATTCCACATAAGAAATAAAAAGATGTATGCTTAGAGAATCATCTTTACAAGGCTTGAAAAAATTATTATGCACATCAATTATCTTGCTCGAGAACGAAAAATAATGACAAAAATGACATCAACAAACAATTCATTACAAGTCCATATGTGTCTGTCCATTGCATGAAAAATATATCTTACAAATACTTAATCATAAAATCAAGTTAGGTAGTGGTATCAATGTCTGATAAGAAAAGTAAGGCATTATCTAGTCCCTAGGAACAAACTTTTTCAAGCGTGAGCCTGAAACCCAATCTCGCCCACGTGCTCCATCCATCTCCTCAATCTCGTATGCTCCGTGCTCTTTTTTCTTAATGATACGATACGGTCTCATCCATCGATTATCTAATTTCCTCGACTACTGCTTTTCAAGAGAAGTGTCACAGAGGAGGACAATATCCCCCACTTCCAACGGTTCCTTCCTAACCCGGGGTTGCTTATCCCATCTAACTTTGTTCGTCCGTCTGCTGTCCGCAGTTGACGCCGTGGCCTCTACAACCCTTTCCTCAGTAGTTTTTATCTGTCTGGCTGTCAGGTCCAACAATTATTCTGTAGAAAGTCTGACTTTCATATCCTGTTTTTGCCATGTGGTTAGGAAACTCTCGAGCGGAAATGTAGCATGTCGTCCAAACCATAACGTAACAGGAGCATATCGAGTAGTCCGTTTTACGGTTATATTTTCAACAAATATGGCAGCTCTGAGATAGACAGACCATGTTGATGGCTTGCCAGCACACCATTTAGCTAGCAAATTGGTCAAGGTGGCATGCCCACGTTCGACCGGAACATTAGCCTGAGGGTGCGCTCTAGTGATATAACTATAGTGCACTCCCATTCTTTTAAGGAGAGCCTGAACTTCTTCCGCCCGAAATTCACTTCCTCGATCCATCATAAATTCCCGAACAAATGCATACCGAAGGTAAAACTCTTCGATACACTCCGCCAAAATCTTTCCGGTTCGCTCACGGATTGCACGCCCATCAACAAACCCGGTAAGATTGTCTCTCGCATCAAATATGTACCTGTACCCATTAAGTCCAGGTGGCATAACGACCAGGTCGAGGTGCACAACCGCACCTGGCTCAACCACATATCGTGGATTAAGTGGCTCAGCATAGCGGAGATTCGAACGTTTCTGACAGGGGACGCACGAGTTACAGAACTCTGCCACCATCTTATCCATACCATCCCAAAAATAGAGATGTTGAATCTTTCTTAATGTCACTCGAGCAGATCGATGTCCACCTGCCACTCCATCATGTAGGGCCGCAATCACATATCTGGGAACCCCACACACCACTCTCTTAGGCATTCCATCGTCAGACTTCTTGAAAAAATGCCCTATCGAATGACAAAGTCCTTTGCCTTCCTTCTTATTTCTAGCTCTATCTCAGCCTCGTTTAAATCCCCATTCAGCCAAAGCCCAATCTTCTTATAGATCCCATCATATTCTTCCTCGCGAAAGGCTTCTTTGATCTCACTGTCTTCCCCTTCTTCCAACATTAACCTGCCGCGATCCTCCTGTATTAACGAATTGACGAGAAATACCATTCCCCCGGAGGTCCTGAGGACTTCGTCGCCTTGCTCATGTCCTCCGTCAATCGTAAGTGGCTCTTCTAACAGTCGTACCGGATCCGACAATGCCAACCTCATCATTTGCTCAGCAGATCGTTTGCCGCAAGGATCCTCCTCAATAAAGGATTCCCTCATCACCAGCTCTGCACACTTTTGATAAGAACTCAGCGAATTTCTGATAGACTTCCCAGGTCGGGACGACGCATTACTGATGTATTCCCAAACATTGATACTCAGTTGTTGCTCGTCCGTCTCCAGAAACCCATCCACAGGGACCGAGTCTTCTGCCTGATCTTTCGAGGAGTCCCACTCGATCCGACTCAATCCGTCGGCTCGATTTTGTGTTCCCGCAATACGCTCGATCTCGAAATCGAACATCCAGATATAGATCAACCATCGAGCAATAGTTGGATCCGAGGGAGAATAATTGTTCAATGACTGCGCCAGGGCGGTCGGATCAACCCGCAGGACGAACCGTCTTCCAAACAGGTAGTTTCGGAAGATCCTTAAGCAATGAAGCACTGCAAGGGTTTCCTTCTTAAATTGGGAATACTTTTGTTCCGCCTCATTCAGCGTTCGACTTTCAAATCTCAATGGCCTTTCTCGCCCTTCTCCATCCTTTTGGATGAGAACTCCACCCAATGCTGTGGGGCCTGCATCCGTTTCAACCACAAAGGGCCGATTCGGGTCATTGTCAAAGTACGGAACCCCCAGGATGAACCCTCCTTCTCGGAATTATGCCTTGATATCGTCAACTGCCGCCTGCTGCTTTGGACCCCATTCTCATTCCTGATTTTTACGCACCAACTTCCGTAGGTGCTCCACCCTTGCGGCGAACTTGCGAATGAAGATGCGTCAGAATCCGCAAGTCCCTAAAAAACTGCGCACATCAGTGATGGACTTAAGCGGGGTCGGTCATTCCAGAATCTTGTTTGTCTTCTTGAAATCTGGCCGACGACCCTTCTCATCGCACAAGAAGCCCAAGATAGTTGCCTCATGCATACAATGCCGAGATTTGACACCGCTGGCAGTGAGGTTGTACTCCTTTAACTTGGACAAGACCTTCTCCACGTTACGGACGTGCTCCCAAACAAACTTTCGAACGCCTCGCAGCACCTTTGTCTCATCCTTCACGCGCGGTCCAGGTATGGCCAAGTCATCGATATAAGGTGAGGTCACGTCCGGATAAAGTGACTGCATGACTCTCATCATATATCTCGGAACAATTGCTACGGCGTTCGTCCATCCATGAGGTGCCGCACACATATGAATTAATCCCCTCGGCGTATGCCCCTCGGCGTATGCATGGCCGTCATCGGCCTGTCTGCCGTGTAGAGAGGGAATTGATCATATCCTGAGTACAAGTCAATGAGAGTGATGATAGGTCTGTCTGTGCACGATTCCGACAACTGATCGGCATGAGGAAGTCCTCCTGCATCACGGACCGTCACTGAGTTCAGCCTCTGCAAGTTCTGCACCCAACGCAATACGCCACTTGGCTTGATGAAACAAAACCAAGGGGACGCATATGGTCCATATGAGTAATCCGCGACCCTTGTCCGAATTTTACCATCCAAATATTCAACGACTCTACGATGATCATCCGGATTTGGATAACGYGRACCTYGTATGTTYCACGGYTCGTGAGGTACCGTATGAATTYTKATCATTGGGATCATGTCAACGTCAAGCCTCCCTCGCTCGTCATCATCGAAGGCGTAAGCYAAATGGGTTCTCTTCATGACGCTRACAAGGAAGTCCACCTCCTTTTCAGAAAGAGACCCTTCCTCTCCAATGATCATATCTTTAATCCTCTCCTCCGTCAGCCGACACGGTGCCTTCACACTCTTTTCTTTCCTCATCCTGATCCATTCTCTCTCTTCTTTATAATACACATTTTCTTCTTGCGTGATCAAGGCGGGCACTGGCCGAGCTTTCTCACCTACTCTCTTGTACTTACGTTTCGCTCGAACTCCAAGTCGTCCACCTCTAAAAAAGACCCTTGCTTGGCTTCTGGCTCCGTCAATACATCACCTTCCGAAGGCCTGTCGGGCCGATAAGTAAGATACATTCTACTTGTCCCGCCTTCTCCTGCCACAATCTCTGTAAGCGTTTGGACCAACTTGGGGTCCACGGACGAGTCTGTCGTAACGAACTCGATCGCTTGAGAGATGTTGGGTAGAGCAAGAGAAAATTCCTGGGGATCGCTTTCTTCCCCGATGGATTCCTTCTCCCTTCTGAGTCTTTCGGATTCCGTGAAAGAGTAGGACCCCGGATTGAGTCGGTTCCTTGAGTTGGTTGGTCCTGTGTTCTCACACTTCAGCACCTCGTAATAGCCGCATACGGGGTCACACAAAACCACGATTATAGTACCATTGTGCTTGTTGAAGATGATGGATTCTGATCGACATAGAAAAGCTCTGCCCAGCAACACGGCATGCTCAACCCTGGGTAGCACATAGAAATAAGAACGGACTTTGACTTTACCAACTTGTACCGTCACGTCACTCGCCATTCCGCAAAAGGGAGTTATCCCACTTGCACCCACCAGAAATCCAGTATCTGCTCGATTGATGTCGACTCATGCCCCCGTGACTTCTCTTTCCCGTATAATGTTCATTTCAGCTCCATCATCGATGAGAGCTGAATATTCGCATGGCCCAATTTGCACCTTCAACAACCCAGTAGCTACACAGTGCCAGTCCATTTTTGTCCCAAACAGAGACCAACTAATCTCTCGAGGAAAGATATCACTCATCTTAACCGTCATCACCTTTTTTCTTGACAATCGGTGTCTGAACTCCTCTCGGATTTTGGGTGACACGGCCAAGAACTCCTTGAGCGTGAACAAATCGCGCTGACTCTCTAAAATCCGGTCCACGATCTGCTCAATATCTAGCCCTTGTTCCACTTAAATTGTGTAAACTTGGTTCTTCTTCTTGAATTCTTCTTCCGGCCTTGCCCGTTTCTAGCTCCCTCTCCATGGCTCGTTGTTTGGCCTGCCTCTCATCTTCGGCTCGCAGCAATTCATCCTCCTCGCCATCGTCTTCTTCAATCGAAATCGTCTCGGTTTTCCGAGGCTGACTTGGCCCTTCTTCTGGCATTGCCCTTGGCCGCGGCGACCTTCGAGCCCTCCGAGCCTGTGGGAGGCCAGCAGTGGCAGGTCGCTTGAGCGCAGGGCGGGACAAGATCGTGGTGGCCATCAAACGCCCCGCCGACAACAATCAAGGTTGTGATGCGGTAACATCAGTAAGACCTCCTCGGCCGTCTCTGTCCCATCCTCCAAACATAAAAACTTGTGGAAGCTCGGGCCACTCTTCATCCATATCCACACATACTTGAACAAACGCTTCCCTGCATCGTTTCATTTTTCCGACCACTGTCTGAGCTCGTTGCAGTATATTTTCCTTCCCTTTGCTCAAACCTTCATTTCTGGCCTTGGTATCCTTAATTGTCAGTGACTCCATCGTCGCGTCCAACTCAATCTGTTCGACCTCTTCCGGAGAAGCCAGTCGAAAAGTTGCTGGAAAATCTCGCCCAATATGTCGAAAAACTTCCTTTCTGATTCCTCCCTCCACATTGGGATCGATGAGATTCCCTTCGAAGTCGTAGACCTCGCCTCGGATATTCATCTTTGGTAACGGTCTGACAAAACCGTATCCCATGTCCATCTTGGCTACAATACTTGCAAAACCAATTCTGCCAATTACCTCGGCCGCCCCCATTTCCTCGGCCTCCCCCAGTGCCTTGTCCTCTACCTCGACCTCGGCCTCGGCCTCCTGCCTGAGGTTGGGGTTGCTGAGGAGGGGTTGGAGCCGCCTGTTCCTGATTACTTCCTTGTCCACCTCCTCCATTATTCTTCCGCTGCTTCTTACTAGTGCCCTGCCCTCCTCGTATCTGGTTCAGGGCCTTCCGTTCTGGTTTGGTCAATTTTCGAGGAAGCTCCACTTCCTCCTCGTCTTCCTCTTCACTGGTGCTACCACTCACTTCCTCCACAACGGGTGCTTTGCCCTTTCTTTTCCCACCTTTTGTCTAGACCATCATCACCTGTAGCTTTAGCCTTTCCTCCTTCATGTCTGCCATCATGTTCCGCATGTCAGTTAGGGTCTTGTAAACGGCTTGATCCTTGTCCGCGCTTACCCCTTCATTATTACGGTCCTCCTTTTGCTGCTTCAGGAGACGGTAAAGCATTTGGTCGAAACTTCCGACCAACAGATTTTCCTTTATCTTCGGCCAGTCGTATCGCCCAGTCATATCCTTCATCAGTTCTCGCTGCTCAACTTCCGAAAATTTTTCGAGGAAGATGAGGCACCGATCCTTATCTGGAAGGTCAGGCACTAAGCGCGCAACCCGCTCAAACTCCATAAGAAACTGCTTGGCCGTACTAAACTTCGGACGACTAACCTTCCGTAAGTCCGCCAGATCGAGCTGTTGATCCCCCAATTGGTACTTGTCCAATAATTTGGCCTTAAAGTCCGGCCAGTCGCGCGAAGCTTGCACCAACTCCGACACCTCCTCTTTGTACTTGACCATACAATATCGCTTCACCATTTGAAGCATCTTCTCACTCGACCATTCGCAACAACTGCCCAATTGTTCAAACTTGTTCGCCCATGCTGAGGCATTGGTGTCATCGAAGGGGGGAACTTTAACCTTCGGCAATTGTGCCTTCTGATTATCAGCCTCACGAATGGCTCGTGCGAGTTCCAGAATATCGTTGCGACGATCCCCTGCATTACTATTTGCGGGATCAGTATTTCCTCCCGTCATCTTGAGAGAATCAACACGACAAACCCACATGTCTAAGTGTCAAATAGATTCCAACAATTCATTCCAAACCTTGCCTTCTTTCTTTTCCCAGACATTAATAACCACTGACTACTTTCAATCCAAATAAATAATACACAATACTTAAAATCACCATGACCATCCTTTTCCCAAGTGTCGTTCCACCAGGGACGACGGTAGTTTGCTGTCATCCCCGGCAACGACGCTACCTGTCGAGCGCATCGGCCCTCGCGTGAACGAGGGCCCTCCTGGCTATGTCACGCAGGAGTTAGAAAAACATAATCGAGATAACTTAAGACGATGCAGAAATAATCCCACGAACCGCCGAGACGGACGTGGTCGCATTGTCCCTTCGCCGCTCTAGCCGGGTTCGCCAGCTATACATCCCGCGGTCCCCTACGACAGGATAGGTTTTCGCGGGGCACAACTTATCTTCCCTGAGGGGTTGTCACCACCCTCAGGGGCGTATCCCTACCGAGCTACTGACCCACGTGCGAAAACTTTTACATGCAATTGTAGAGGTAGGTCAGCCGAGGGCGTTTGCTCGCTCGCTGGAGTATAGGTACGCTTGGCTAACGCCAAATGGACCCGAACGTTGTTCGTTCCCGAGGGCGCTGATCTCCTCGGTACGAACGAGCGTCGGTCGACTAGGACGGCCTCGACCAAACGAGAAATCCAACATATAATCCTAGCCCCTTTATAATCCCCTTCTCATAAAATGAACGAAACCAATACATAACCAACATTTCGACTTGATGAGATGATATGCCAAGGTTATCGTTTCCTGCCTACCTGACTGACGAGACAATTATACCGTCATCCGAGGACGGAAGATCCGTCG